AGCATAAGTAAACATGCACAAACGCACGCAAATTTGGCACGGCTTTTGTTAGAACACTCTCGAACAAAAGGGACTTACGATAGTCAACATCTTTTACATCTGCCACCATGGCTTACGCATGCGCACAATGCGCATATGTACTAATGAAAATAAGCCTTTGCATTTATTGCTGTAATAATCATTGAATATCTCATTTAGTTCTCGTTTTCTTTCTTATACAGCTGAAACGGTAATGGCTTCAACCGGTTTTATCAAGTTTACAGAATAGCTAATTGTCGTCATAATCAAATTTACAGCCAAGTTCAACTTTAAAATCAAATTTTAAAAAAAACCTTGAAGAAATGACGCACTAAAAGCTCGAAAAAGCAGCATTTCTTGTTCGCCCAAACTTCCTCTCGGACACCTCCCAAACAGAATACGAGCTCAAGACTGTAACTGAAATTTCCTTCAAATAACGATCACACAGTTTCTTCAGCAATTTTGAGATTTTGCGGACAAGAGACCGTGAATTTCCATCTTTTAGCTTTCTTGGGAATTCTTAAGTTAAATTAAAATTAATGTTTCTAAACGTTCCTCTAAAACTTCGGAAAAACGAAAAAACGTCGCTATTTCCTAGACGACTTACAGCCTATTAGAACTGAAAATGCAAAAGCTGGAATACGATTGGCTGGGCTACTCGTACAATCTCAGCCATTTGTGTACCATGGCTGTAGAGAATGTTTACAAAATGGCAGGGTTTTCTCGTTTTTCCCACGTCTCGAGGAAGATTTAGAAATATCACCAGATAATTCAATTCCTAAGAGCACTCAAGAAAGGAAATTGACCATCGTGCGAGTGTAAAACCTCAATATTTTTCAGTGATGAACGGGTGTAACAGCTGCAAGTTTCAAACAGCAATTCAATTCGCGAGCGTTTTTGCTAAGGCGTGAATCACTTAGATGCTTCTTAAAAAATAGAGCAAAATCGTTGTTTGAAATAAAATTAGCCAGAATTCTACTAAATAAATTAGATTATGAGCTCGAGATTTCTATAAGGAACTAGTTGATTCGGCCTTCAGCCTCATCATCAGCTAGTCTTCATAAAAATCTCGAGTTCACAATGTAACTGTTAAAATAGTGTATCATAGCTCACCCAATCAGATTGCAGCACTTGCATTAGTGCACGTGTAACAAAACTCGATAGGAACACAGAGAATATTTTCTTTTTCTTAAATAATGTAACATCACAACTGTTACGTGAGAAGAAAATGGTCATTAACACATNCACGTCTCGAGGAAGATTTAGAAATATCACCAGATAATTCAATTCCTAAGAACACTCAAGAAAGGAAATTGACCATCGTGCGAGTGTAAAACCTCAATATTTTTCAGTGATGAACGGGTGCAACAACTGCAAGTTTCAAACAACAATTCAATTCGCGAGCGTTTTTGCTAAGGCGTGAATCATTTAGATACTTCTTAAAAAAATAGATCAAAATCGTTATTTGAAATAAAATTAGCCAGAATTCTACTAAATCAATTAGATTATGAGCTCGAGATTTCTATAAGGAACTGGTTGATTCGGCCTTCAGCCTCATCATCAGCTAGTCTTCATAAAAATCTCGAGCTCAAAATGTAACTGTTAAAATAGTGACCCATAGCTCACCCAATCAGATTGTAGCATTTGCATTAATGCACGTGTAACAAAACTCGATAGGAACACAGAAAATATTTTCTTTTTCTTAAATAATGTAACATCACAACTGTTACGTGAGAAGAAAATGGTCATTAACACATGTTATTGTTCTGCCATATGTTCCTTTGATTTACATTTCCTTAACGTTTCTTTCATTTTTTTCTTAAACCCGCTGTTGTACATGTGTTGTTAGAAACCCCAAGAGTATATTCCGTCAAGCACCACGAGAATAGAAATTAATGACTACGGAAAGTGGTAAAGCTTTCCGGGCCATATCATTGCTCTCCTGAACCAGCTTACATCAACCTGTCCTGAAAACGTCATCCATCTCGAAAACAATGTGGGTTTGTTGAAGAGCAGCCATTTGGTATTGGTGGACC